TGTTTGATTTGTTTTGGCTTTTTTCAAGACAGGGTTTCTCTGTGTAGAAACTGTCCTGGAACTTACTCTATAGACCAGGCTGGCCTTGAACTTAGAGATTCTGCCTGCCTCTGCCTCCCAAGTGCTGGAATTAGACGTGTGCCACCACTGCCTGGCCATGCTTAGTTCTTATATAGGTGCTGGAAATATGAACTCAGGAACTCATGCCTGAGAGGCAGGCACTTCACACACTGAGTCATCTCTCTAGCCCACATCAGCTTTCTTTAAAGGATGGCAGCCTGGCTTCCCTAAAAGCAGGAAAGCTTTGACCGTCAGCTGCTATAGTCATCCTGGTTGGAGCCAGTGACCTGGGCAGACAAGTACAATGTTCCTGTCTTCCACTGACAGAGACTTTATAGTTGGGGTGGAAGTACTCTTCCCTTCTCAGGCTAGGTAACTCAGATCCTGCCTGAAGAGTTGGCCCAGCACTAAGTTAGGCTCTGGCTAGAGCTATTGTTAGGTGCTAAAGCAGTAACCAGAGCCTGGCTGCTGTGGCTGTGTCTGTCCTAATGTTCCTTCCACTAGAGAAGAGCTAGAAGGAGGCAGCTGCTCATCTGGCTGCTGTTGACCAGCCTGGCCAGATTAACTACTAATGGGTACCCAGGAGCGGCAGGGAGGCTAGAAGAGAGGGCACTGCATGGAGAAACTGGGGACAGCTCTTGTCACTATAAAACATCTCAGTCTTTTCCTTTATTTAATTTCTTTACCCCCTCTGGTTATCCTCATTGCAGCCAAACTTGTCAAAACATTGGATTACACCTCATAGTCCAGGGCTATTGGGATATGATGTTGCTGATAGGAGACACTTTGTGCTTAAGATCTCCTCTCTGGAGAGTAGGACACCCCATCAGTACTATGAAAGGAGTCCGAGATACCAGACTCTGGTGCCCCTTCCTTGTCCTGTCCGCCAACACGTTGGACCAGCAGCAGGTCTGTTCTACTAGAGATGGTGTAGCCCAGGCACTCATCGGTGCCTGAGCTACGCCTTTTGCTAGTTTGCCTTTTGCCTTTCATCCTCCTTACTGATGTGCCACAAGGGGAAAAGTAGATGTGTAGCCCTGCTCTTAGCCAGCTCTGAGCTGCACCTCAGCCTTCCCTCCCAAGTATGTGCCACAGAGAGTTCTGGGGCCCCTTGCTGAGTGCCTTGCCAGAGCACTCCATGGGGCACCTAAGCCCTGGGATGTCAGAGGCATCAGTGCTGATCCTCCGTTTGCCCTGTTCATTGTCACCTGGGGACCCCATACACTTCACAGAAATGGAAAACTTAGCCTCTCTGTGAGATGGATGGTGTTTTTAAGCCTCAGAGAAATTGCTTGTGTCCTGGACCTTTAAAGGAAACAAGGTAGCAAGACTGAAGGAACTCAAGCTTGAGAGTCGTGGCCACTTAGCTGCAGAGTTTTCTATCTGCCAGGGTCTGCAGGAGTCTCTGAGAGTTCTCTAAAGTTGTTGGTCTGTAGCTGGCTCAGAAAATCAAGGTCCCTCTTCTTCTTCTCCTCTTCTTCCTCCTCCTCCTCCTCTTCTTCTTTCTTTTTCTTCCTTCTTCTTTCTTCTTTTTCCTTCTTCTTTCCTCTTCTTCTTTCACTTTTCTTTTCCCCACAGGCAGTAACATTGGTTGGCTTTGCTTGTGGCATCAAGAAAGGTGCAAGCAGCTCTAAAGAAGTACCAAGAAAAGAACAAAACCCAAAGGCAAAGGCTCCTGTCTTCTTGTCATCCAGCTTTTGCTGAGCCCCCTCCTCAGAGGCCCTGGGCATGTCAAGGAGCACTTGAGTCTGTCTACATTACCTCCATGTGTACTGGGTCCAGGGACCTTCGCTTTGTGCCACAGAGTCCCTGTCACAGGAGTGTGGAAATCTCACAGAAGTGCTTGATAGTCAAGCCTCTGCTTCAGCTATTTCTGACATCTGGTGGTTGTTCACTCGCAGCCCTGGTGGTTGAAACAGGAAGGTGTAGACAGATCTCTTGAGGAGCTGTGCCCTCTGCTCTCTCGGGTCTGGGTTAGGTGCAGTCACTACTGGGTTCCCCATGCTGTCAGACTCTTAAGCCTCTCTTTTTTTTTTTTTATTTTCATGTGTGTGGGGGTCAAAGGACAACTTGCAGCAGTTGATTCTCTCCTTTTACCATACGGGTCCTGGAGACCAAACTCAAGTCTTTAGGCTTGTGACAGACACCTTTATGCACTAAGCCATCTTGCCAACCCAGATTCCAAGCCTCTTATTCCTTTGGGCCACCTTAGAACCTCCAGATGGCCTTTCGCAGCCTCAATCCCAATGTTTTGTGCTCCCTGCTCTGTGTCAGTCTAACAGGGCAGCTACAAGGCTCAGTTCTTCATGCCATGCTGAGACACCCAGGCTGGCTGGTAAGGTAAATACAATTGCTTTGTGAAGAGGCCACAAAAAGTGTGTATTTAATCAACAGGTGTTCAATTCTGGGTCTGCCAGTCCTTCACTGACCAGTGTTCAAGCTTCTATCCATGGATATTAAATGAATCACCCTTTTCTCCCTGGCCTGGTTTGACATGGAAAAAAAAACCAAAACAAACCCTATCTGCTCCCCTGCACCACATTGGTCACCTATAGGGCCACATGGGCTCTCTTAGAGAAGGTGCAGGTGGAAGAATGGAACAGACTGTCTGGAAAGCTGTTGGGGACACAGAGGAGTCTAATTCGCTTCTTGAGTTCACTGCTGTGTTACCTATTGGTAGGGGGAATCTGAAGGGAAACTACTTTGGAATCTGACAAAGAAACAAAGTTTATGAAAGGATATAGCCTGAAAGTCCATGTCAGGGGTGAGATGCCCCAGAGAATGGGGAAGAAATGGCCAAGGATGTTTCCAAGGATGATCTCTGGACTAAACAACTTTTCCTCCCATCTCTGGTGAGGGTTTTGTCCTCCAGTAGGTCACCATGAAAAGCATCAGGCATTGCTGTAAAGAGACACCATGACCACAGCAACTCCTGTAAAGGGAAACAGTTAATTGAGGATGACTTTCAGTTTCAGAGGCCATTTAATCCGTGGCAGGAAGCATGGTGGCACACAGGCAGATACGGTGCTGTGGGAGGTAGCCGAGAGTTCTATATCTGGATGATCAGGCAACTAGGAGAGAGAGAAAGAGACTTGGCCCCAAAGCCCACCTGTAGTGATGCACTTCCTCCAACAAGGCCACACCTCCTAATCTCTGTTGCACACTCCCTAATGACCAGACATTCAAGTCTGTGTGTTTATGGGGCCATTCCCATTCAAACCACCACGCCAGCGTGCTTGTTTGCTTGTCTGTTTGTTTGATTGTTCATTCATTCATTCATTGGTCTGGTTTTAGTTGTTTGTTTGTTTGTTTGTAGATAGGGTCTTACTTTATAGCCCTGACTGTCCTGGAACTCACTTTATAGACCAGGCTGGCCTCAGACTCAGAGATCTGCCTGCCTCTGCCTCTGCCTCTGCACCACAGCTCCGGGTTTCCAGTGCACTTCTTTATTGAGGATTTTAAGTATGAAAGCAGTATATGTTCAAGCTGTCAATATAATACAAAAGAACCTAAATTTACTTTGCTTCTAATCCTCCTTTCAGTCACTTTAAAGCTATATTTTTCCATATTTTTTTTAAATATTATTTATATGGTATTCTGCCTGCACACCAGAAGAGGGCACCAGATCTTGTTATAGATGGTTGTGAGCCACCATATGGTTGCTGGAAATTGAACTCAGGACCTTTGGAAGAACAGCCAGTGCTCTTAACCTCTGAGCCATCTCTCCAGCCCCCATATTTTTTCCTTACCTGCACGAACAGTTATATATGGTATCTACTGCTTTAAAGGGATGGGATTAGCCACTTTATTTTATTTATTTTCTCCAGGTTTCTGGTAGGAAAGTTTGAGTTGCCAGGCTCTTCTAGCCTATGAACAATCCATATTTTATGAATCCTTAATAGCTTTCTTTCCAACAAAATAAGCAGGACACAAAGAGACAGCAATAGGAAGAAAGGTCACTAGAACAAAGTACCCAAATCTTGGCACAACCTGACAAAGGCAAGACATGTGATGTTTCTGTGCTTCTCTTTCATCACTCACACATGACATTATGTACCTTGCTAGCTTATAAGATCTGCAGCTCAGAGAACAACACACACAGTATCTCATCATGTATTGTCCACACAACTCATGACTGATAGTGCTGGGAAGTGACCTGTTCTAAGCTCTCCTTCCTGAACAGCCATAACCTGCTCACTGGATGCTCTCTTGTGGCTGGTAATTCCATGTCACCTCTGCATCAGCAGGCCTGCCTCTGGCTTTTTTGAAGTTTAGTCTGAATTTTTCCTTTGATAGTCTCTCTATCCTACTGTCTGTATATGTTGTCCCACATCTGGCAGTCTCCATTGGTATTCACTGTGGAGTTACCTGATAGACTCTCTAACTTTGCCTTTTCCTGAGGAGTGTCTCAATGACATATGCATGCTATTGCCCTGACCTTGTGAGCTTGTGTGCTGTTGCTGCACAGAGTTGCTTCCAGAGGGAGTTCCCATACTCCACCTATAATGCCGAGATTCCACAGCACAGCACGAGAATCTGCTCCTGGGGACTTGGTTTTACCCCTAGCTATGGCTTTGTGAGTGTCTTTGCAACCTCTCTTAGCGGACTTCCTCAAGCTCCCAGGTGTCTGACATTATTTTCTTTGCTGGAATCTCATCCTTCCTGTCCCAGCCTATTCCTTTGGCTCATATTATTGTGAAGCTCTCCAAAGCCTTCCTTGCTGCAGAGTAAGCACTTTTTTCCATGCCCCTCATACCCAGGCTTCTAGGTCAGAAGGCTTGTTTAGTTCTCTGCATATTTCTCCCATTACTGTGTTCCCCTCACGCAAAGCATGGTGGTTTATTTAGGTCATGCAAGTCGCTCCTAGACCTGTGTTTGCTCTGTGCCTGCCACCCACCCACTGGTGATTAACCCTGCTGGTCTCCCTGTCTCTCTTGCAGATGATGTGCTGACTAAAGATGCGGGTGAGTGCGTGATCTGCCTGGAGGAGCTGCTTCAGGGGGACACGATAGCCAGGCTGCCATGCCTGTGCATCTATCACAAAAGGTACAGGGGCCTGGCAAGAACAGCTCTGCCAAATCCCACGTCCATGGGGTAGAGCCCCTTCACCAGTCATCCAGTCCTCTGGTTACAGGATGGCCCGTATATTCTTTGCTCTCTGATAGGAGTCAGGCATGACAGGAAGGCTCAGTTACTGCTAGGGCAGAGCAGAGGTGAACTGCTCAAGACTCTACTCTGTTTCGGCAAGTCAGATAATAGAAATCAGTGTGTAGACCTGGCTTAGGCATGTGTAAAATCTCACCTGGAGCTTGACTCCTCTTCCTTCTCTCTGAACCCTGTCCTGCAGAGAGGTGTCAAGGGTAGAAGTAGTGCCCTTACTGGTCTATGTGGCACCCTCCTCCCACAAGGGCCAGGAGGCAGGAAAAGCCACTACCTGCATGTACTGAGAGCTGCTATAATTAGCCAGGCCAAGATTCGTCCTCTGCCTTCAGCAGTATCCTTCGTCTTTTTTCTAACTGGAAAGAAGACACCTTGTCAAGGACAGAAGGACACCCTGTGTTCCTTGGGCCAGCACCTGCTCTCTGCTCCTCCAGCTTGCACAGGGGCTTTTCTAAGCCCAGCCCAGGACTGCTGGTCCTCAGTGTCACAGCTGTGCCTGTATGTGATTGGCCTTTGGGAGAACTGTGGCTCTGGTTTCCATCACAGATCCCTGCAACATTAACCAGAGGCAGGAAAGGAAACCCCTGGGAGACCTAAGCAAATTATCTATTTGGTTGTTCTCTTTGAAAGTGTCCTGATGTGCCAGGCATGGTGGCACACACCTTTAATCCCAGCACTTGAAAGGAAGAGGCAGGTGGATCTTTGTGAGTTCAAAGCCAGCCTGATATACAGAGTAAGTTCTAGGACAGCCAGGGCTACATGGAGAAACCCTATCTTTAAAAAAAAGAAAGAAAATGAGTTTTGTTTGTTCTTGGCTGCACAGAGTCCATTATAACCACTGTAGAATGAGGTCTTACTACCGCCTTCCCTCCTTCACCTCTCCAGTTTTTAGCTCCCCCTTCTACTGTTGTATCTAAGCTAGGTAGGCTTGGGACTCTGGAGCGCTCTCATCATCCCAGATCTGGCCACCCTCATCACTAGCTAGCCTCTTGTATCTGGCCCCACTCCCTGCCTCTCAAACCTTAGAGGCAGTTAAGCTTCTGCCCTTTGTAGTCCACCTGTTCTCACCTCCTTAGCGGTTGCTATTCTTGGCTCCCAACACTTGGGCTTCCGACCTTATAAGGCCACTCTTGTTCTTGTTTGTTTGTTTGTTTGTTTGTTTCAGAAATTTTCTTTTTTTTATTTATTTACATTTTATGTACATTGGTGTTTTGACTGCATGTATGTCTGTGTGAGGGTGTTGGATTCCCTGGAACAGGAATTACAGACAGTTGTAAGCTGCCATGTGGGTGCAGGGAATAGAACCTAGGTCCTCTGGAAGAGCAGTCAGTACTCTTAACCACTGAGCCATCTCCCCAGCCCCCACTCTTGTTCTTTCTGTAAGGCCAGATTCTACCAGAACCTGTACCTACTGCTCCTGTCTCCTGCTGAGCCAAGATCATTCTTTTCTTTCTGTCTGTCTTTCTTTCTATTTTTTATTTATTTTTATTAATTATTATATTTATTTATTATTTAATTTATTGAGGTAGTCTAACTATATAGCTTTGGCTGTCCTGGAGCTCACTGTGTAGCCTAGGCTGTCCTTGAATTTACAGAGACCCACCTATCTCTGCCTCTCGAATGCTGGGATTAAAAGGAGGACCTCCCCTATCAGTGGACTTGGGGAGGGGCATGCATGAAGAAGGGGGAGGAAGGGTGGGATCGGGAGGGGGGAGGGAGGGGCTTATGGGGGGATACAAAGTGAATAAAGTGTAATTAATAAATTTAAAAAAAGAGAAACTGAAAAAAAAAAAAAAAGTATGTATGTACCACCACCACCACCACCACACCGAGCTTATTTTTTGAATTTTTTTGTGCATGGGTTTTTTTGCTTACATGATATGTACATTACATGTGTGCCTGGTGCCCACTGAGACCAGAAGAGGTCATTGAATTCCCAGGACCTGGAGTTAGAGCTGTTTCTGAGCCACCATGTGGGTGTTAGGAACTGAACCTGGCTCTTCTAAAAGAACAGCTAGGGCTCTTAATTACTGAGCCCTCTCCCAAGCCCTCATGGTTATTATTTTATTAAAAAATATTTTTTATTAATTTTAAATTATGGGCATGTGTATATACATGCATCTGAGTGCAGGAGCCTACCAAGGCCAGAGATCCTGGAGCTGGATTCGTGGGGCGGGTATGAACCAAACTTGGGTCCTCTGGAAGAGCAGCATCACTGGCCCATCTCTCAAACTTGCCACCTGCCTGCCCAGCCACCCTCCGAATATCCTTTTTCTATTCTCCTCCTGCTTCAGGGGGTGGGACGCATAATCACTTTCCCTGGGGCCCTGCCTGAGAGTCCAGCTCCTTGAAAGGCACCCTGGCAGGAGCAGTGTTGTCAGTAGCTAATGTGTTTCCTTTTGATCCCCACTCCAGCTGCATAGACTCATGGTTTGAAGTGAACAGATCTTGTCCAGAACACCCTGCTGACTGACCCTGCTGGGCTTGCTTGCCGACTCCTCTCAAAGGTGAGCCCATACTAGGCAGGGGACTCTGGGTTTAGGGTCAAGTTTTGGGAGCTGGGGGAGAGGAGCTGGGTTGCCTGATACACACCCCACCAAGGAGAAAGCAGAAATGGAAAGACAGAAGCCATCTCCTCAGTGAGCAGTTCCCAGGAAGAGCAGGGATGTTCCTGGGGGTAGGGAGAGCAGAAGAGAGGGATAGTAACATACTCATGAAGAACTCCATGCAAAGGTAGAATCACTCCTTGGCAGAAAGGTCCCTGCAGATTGCATGGGCTGAAGCAGATGAGTCCCAGCCAGGCTCTGCAGCTGTCTCATCCTCCCTCACCTGAGACTCCATTTCTGGAAGGGAAGACTCACTAAATGAATGACCTGTGGAACGGACACTGTCCACTGCAAAGTGCTTGTCTAAGATCTTTTCATTGCTGGCCACTCACCCCCCTTCTAGGGGAATCTGAGGCTTCCAGGCCATACTCAGCCCAGCTGTCCATAGCACAGTGTCACAACAACAGCAGGCCAGCATGACAACTCCCTCCCACACATGCATATGCGTCTCTGGTGTAACTGTTGGATCTGACATCCGTTTCCTCCCAGGGTACCTTGTTTCACTGATGACACCCCTCCCCAACCCCCATTCTGTCACCCACCCTGCCTGTGCCTTCTGAGGGCTGTGGTGGCATTGTCTCCCCCACCCCCGGCAGACAGAACTTAAACCCCAGAAAAAACAATAGCCCATTTCTACTTCATCTCACATCCAAAGGTTTGGGGGGATCTCTTTTCTTCTCTCTCCTTTGTTCTGTTTTCTTTTGTTAGGTTTATTTTATTTATTCCAAGTAAATGCCCAGAACAGCTGACGGTGTCAGGCAAATCAGGGACATTTGCTCTTTTTACCTTCACCTCAAAATCTGATGACAAGGGGAGAAGACAAAGCAAGGGTGAGAGTGAGGCAGAGGGATTGGATCCCAGCTCCAGAGTGCAGGTCCACATTGCTGGCATGATGTTTGGCTTCCGGTGGGCCTGCCTGGCCTGAACCAGACGCCCCAGCAGACCAGCCTGCCCTCGGCGGGATACGCTGCTGCCACGGTGAAATGCAGCCACAGCTCTCAGCCAGACGGAGCGCGACTGACTTCTTCCGACCCACACAGGGACAGACACCCCTGTTCCTGGGAGGAGGCTCCTCAGACACTGGACAGAGCTGAGCTTGGGACACCAGAGGGAACGGGGCACCCCTTCTGCACTGACTTCCAGAAAATGGTCCTCCCTCCTCCCTGAGGACACGCAACTGGATGAGAGCGAGTCTGAGAGAAGAATGAATTGACCTCTCTCCTTCCCTTCACCCTCAGCCCAGGAGGGAAAGGGCATTTCTTTTTCACCTTTGAAAGGCGTTGTGGGTCTGTCGTTAAAGTGTTTACAACAACAAAATTATATAAAAAAAAAAAGTCTAGTGTCGACTGGTGTTTTCCCTCGTGATGTTTACAGATTGCTGTTTGCTGCCCAGCTAAAACCCACTCAGTGACAGAAGCAAGCATAGCCATGTCCTCACCGCTAGCGCTGACCGCGGGTGGACGGGCACACGGCTCTCTGCATCACTAACCTTTCTACTGGGGGATTTGTTTTTTGTTTTCTGTTTTTCTGTCCCATTTTTCTGGCTTGGTTTTGCACTTTTCTCCTCTTAAAACCCCGATATATTGATTTTCTTGCCAAAAAAGAGAAAGGAGGATGAAGAAGAGCCTGTCAAGGACACTTCCCCCTTCCTTCCCCATGTTTTCCCTGCCTTTCCCTGGATCAGTCCAATCAGAGAACTTAACAATCATAAATACATTGGAAAAAATGCCTGGACATTTTTCTTAGGCCCTTGTGAAATTTTTTTCCAGAGAAAACTTAGAGTTACTAAAGGAACATGTACCGCTACCCCTGTTTTCAGGCACACTGAGAACATTTTAGCCATTGATGTTCACATGTGGCGTTAGCCCATGCAGGATAGGTTTCTGTATTTATATTATTAAAATACAAAAAACAAAAAAACAACAAAAAAAACAAAACCTTACAAAATGTTTTTAAAATGTTCAGAGGTTGGGAGAAAAGCATCAGTCAAGGTGTTTTGATATGGTATTAAAATAATGTCTAATGAAAGATGCACCGTGTGATTTTATTTTAATGAAGTGTTGTTACAAGATCAAGAAGTGGAGGCAAAGGCCAGTTTCCCCTGCCCATCTGCCCAGCCCAGCACTCCCTCAGCACCTGCAGGGCTCTTGGCCACACCTGGGCAGAGGCTTGTTGTGGTGGCTCAGGTGTGTCTTTGAAGTTGATGAATTCTTAAGCATCATGGAGTGACTGTCAGTCTCCTGTCATCTCTGGTTGTGACTGAATGTTTCTGGAAAGATATCTTACAGCCATCAGAGGCTGCAAGACTGTGGGTACCTCCAGGCGCCAGCCTAGCCTGGCCTTCAGCACCTCCTCCCCATCCTGCATTCTGCTTGCCTGTTGCTCCATCCACAGCTCTGTGCTGACTCATGGGCATGCTTCACTAAGGCCCAGAAAGAGGCCCTGGTTTGGGGCTGTGCCAGCTCACAGTCCCTGAACCAGAACCAGCCACTCAGCCTCATAAACGTTGGCAAATTGCAGGCTGGGCAGGAAACTCAAGGCAGGGGCCTGCAGTACATACCTGCCCTGACTCCTAGCCAGGTTCCAGGAGCTGCGTTCCAGGGCCTCCTGCAGAGCCAGCTAAGAAAGCTCTGGGGGAGATGGCTGCCCATCTCCACCATGACCATTTGCAGAACTGCCTCTTGTACTGCTGCCTCAGGGCCCAGTCCCAACAGGCCCACAAGTTTGGACTGTGCCACCACCCCTGCTCTGAGGTCCCCTGCCCTCAGATGCTTCATGAAGCAACTACTCTGTGCAAGGACATTTGTTGGAGGCCGGTGGACACGAGCCAGGGCAGGTAGGCAAGCTCAGAGAACTAAGAGTGCTTTAGAGCCTGAGTGTGGGAGACCTCAGGACCTAAACTGTGAGCAGTCTGTTCTGGGGCACTTTACTTCTTGGCAGAATGGTGGGGAAGTATTCATTCATCTGAACTTGATTCCTTGCATGGGAAGTGGGGATACAGTCATGCAGCTCAGTTCAGTGAGTGTTAGGGATCTGCCCCAAAGGCCTGGCACCGCAGGCTTCCTTGTAGCTTTGTCACTGCAAAGGGCACTGTTCTATTCCCAGCACCTCCAGCTTCTGCCTGGCAACTGTGTATCCCTGTTACTATATATAATCCTACCAGCAGAGCTGGCGGGGCAGGGCCCAGCCCTGAAAGAGATCTCCTTGCCTGACCCCTGGGCCTGGAGACAGGCTTTGTGTACCCACCTTGGCTGTGTGAGCCCAGCTGCCTTGGCAAGGCTGTGGCTGAATTGGTTGGGGCAGTGCTGGGCCCCACACCGGGTGCTATTCTAGGCTCTCTAGGCTGGTGCTCATCTCATCCCCAGTGACTCCGCCCCCACCTGGCACACCAAAGCCCTCTTGTTGGCTGTCACGTCCTCTGAATTTGGACCCAGATTGCCAGTGCCTGGTGTGAGGGTGGGACTAGGCTTGTCTGGCTTCCTAGGTGACATTTGTGTTTGTCACCTTCCATCCAGACAGCTCTCTAGAATCCTGTGTTGTCCCTACTCTGCCTTTCTGAGAGGGGAGAAAAATAAGAGATGGGTTCTTCCCCTTTGCTCTTGGGAGCCCTCTTTGAAAACCACCCATCTAACAGCCATTTAATAGTACTGAAGCTCATAAGAGAATGTCCTCCTTAGGAGATAGATGCTGAATTATATAGCTGAATGACTTCAAGAAATGTGTAATCCCAAAGGGTTCCCCCCAAAAATACGCAAAGCAAATAAGGCAAAAATGTCCATTGTTGAATCTTCAGCGACTGATACTTCAGTGAATAGTGTATTTGTTCTTTCAACTTTTCTGTATGTTTGGAATTTTCTTTAATAAAAGAAACTGTGGGGAAATGGCTGTTTATTGAGTTGACAGTTATTGGAGGGCAATGTTATTGGAGGAACCCTGCCTGGCAGAACTTGGGAGGATTTGTGGGAGGAGTGAGCAATCTTGGCTGTGTCTAGGGGGGTGGGATTCACTAGAGCTCTCTTTCCCTGCTGCGTGTGGGACTGATGTTTGGGTTTCTTCATCCCGAAGTGGGTTGGGAGCAAGCCAGAGAACCATGAGACAGACCTTACAGAGAAGGGGTCCTAAGAGGTGAAGTTGGACTGAGAAAGCGTAGGGATGGCAGCCTCTCCCCAGGCCTGGTGAGAGAAGGGTGCGAGAGGCTGCTTCCCTGCTGTGGCCTCTTCCCGTTTCTCCAACGCAAAGAGCTAGGAAGACGTAGGGGAGACGGTGCTGCAGTTGACTTGGACCCCCGCTGGGTAAAAAGTCCGTAGAGACTGGCCCCTGGAAGGCGTCTGCAGCCGGCCCTAAGCAAATGCTGAATGTTTAAGATTTACGGTGTCAGGTGCCCTCTTGTGGACTTCTGGGGAACAACTGCCAAGTACCTCCAGACGGAAACTGGCCAGGGAATCTCAAAACTGCCAGGCCTCAAAGTGGGCAAGACCCTGACTTTGAAGGTAAAGGCTGGTGCTACACAGAGGATTGCCTCATCTCTACTTCTGAGGACCTGCCTAGCTTGGAGAAAGTGCTCTAGTCCAAGCCTTGTGGGGAAACTGAACCTCCCACCACAGGCAGTCTTCTGCCTCATGGATGCAGAAGCAGAGGGGTTGGTTGGGGCTGGCTTTCTTCCCCCTCGCCAGGCCACTGTCACAGGCCTAAAACAAATGGCTCATTACCCGAGGTCAGAGACCTGGAGGGGAGGAGAGGGTACAGCTGCAAGTGGGGCTCACATTCGTGGGGGTGGGGACAAAAAGGTCTATCACTGTGCAGTAGGGGGCCTTTGCAGGAAAGGGGTGTTCCTATCACTATATACAGGATGAATTGTGGTGATGCTCCCCCCCCATCCCACCCCCCTGCAGAGGAGAAGCCTCCACAAAGGAATCTGATCTTAAGAGTAGGCCCACACCATCTCTGGTAGCCAGGAAGAAACTCCAGTGGGAGACACTTCTACTGGAGTGAAAGGCTCCTAAGAACAGCCAGAGTAATAGCTCTCCTGTGAGTCCATCTTCCTCACCTTCACCTTGAGCCCCAACGACAGAGGACAAAGGTCTGTATCTGTACCCAGCAGGCAGAGATAGCATCTCTTGCAAAGTCAGTGGCTTGAAGAAAAGGTACAGAGCAGGGAGGGCCTCTGCATGCTGGGGACCGTGGGCCGAGTTACAAGATCCTCATAGCACTTTGCCTGGGTTCATGAGACCTCGGGGATCCAGTGTGTCTTTGAGCTGCCGCATGGTCGCCACGCCCACGCTGCCCATTTCCTCTTGCAGCAGCTGCCGCTTGCCCAGCCCAATGCCATGCTCTCCGGTGCATGTCCCGTGGAGTGCCAGGGCACGCCTAGGAGGCCGATTGAAGGAATCCTCAGCAGCCTCTCCTCCCTCTGCCTCTGCCCTCCCCAGCCTCCACCCCTCCCTGGCTCAGTCCTTTACCTGCCCAGATTTTCTGCAAAGGCTTTGACCCTCCTCTGCTCCTCCACGTCATCTGGGTCGACCAGCAGGATGCAGTGAAAGTTGCCATCACCCACGTGCCCAACAATGGCTCCTAGGGGCCCAGGGAACAACGCTGTCACCTCTAGCCTCCTTGCCCGGACCTTGGCTAACTCCAGTGCCCCCAAATGAAGTAAGTAGAACGAAACCTGTGAGTTTTGAGGCAATAAGCTCCTCCTTGGCCTCTACCAAGATCTCCGGCAACCGGGAAATGGGCACGCACACGTCCGTAGAATAGGCCTAAATCAGAAGGCAAGCTTGTGTGGTTCTCCCAATCACCCGCTGCCCACCTAAAGCAAGGATCACCTAAAGTAAGGGTTGTAAGGCTCAGGCTTATGACCAGTCCAGGGGAACTTGTCCTGGAATGAAACATCTGTCCTCTAGCCCACTTGCCGTGGGAGTATTCACTAGTCCAGGTCTTCACTACTCCCCTGAATCCAAGCCTGGACCACAGGCTCCCAGCACCCCATACTTCTGCGCTTCTGCATAATCTCAGCTTTCTCTTCTGGGTGGACTTGCCTCTTTCCTTTCTAGTCCTTCCCCATGAGGTCTTCCCTCTGTGTTTAAGATTTCTAAGGGCTGGGGCTGGAGCAATAGCTCAGAGGTTCAAAGCACTGGCTATTCTTCCAGAGGTTTTGAGTTCAATTTCCAGAAACCACAGTGGCTTTCAACCATTTGTAATGGGATATGATTTCCTCTTCTGCTGTGCATGAAAACAGTGTTCATATACATAAAATAAATCTTTTTTAAAAATAAAATCAAATCTCTAAGGGCTCAGCTCAACACTGCACCTGAGGCTGGCTCCCATGAATTTCCCCAGGTTTGGGGCATATAACAGTTTTCCCTTTAGACCGGTCTGGAATAGCTGGGTGCCATGGCCTAGAAGTCCCTGGGCCTCACGCCCACTCAGCCAGCCCTTGGTGGGCCTCAGCTGCCTCTGCGCAGTGAAGCAGTGGGTTGAGGAAAGGGATTGTGGCCTGAGCTGCAGACCCACCCCTGCCCCTGCTCACCTTCCTTCCGGGACACAAGGCTAAGGCTGCATACCAAGCATTGTGCCGCGCTGCCCAAAGCTCACTGCGCTTTTCAGCCTCCTTGGCCCAGGAGAAGTGAGAGCCCCCATTATCCTGAGTGATCGCCTCTGCATTAGGAACAGAAAGGCCGATCCTTAGCCCTACAATAAGACAGACCAGGCCCCACTGCGGCGCTCTCCCCAGCGCACCTGCGCGCTGCAGCTGTTCTGTCAGTGCCTGCTGGGAGCCATGGAACTCCAGGAAAAGCGTGGGTGCCACGGGGCAGTTCAATTTGCTGTACCTGTTGCAAGCATCCATCATGACATCATCCAGGAACTCTGGAACCAGGGAGAGGGCTGGTCATGTAAGGCCTGGTCTTCTAATGGGTCCTTTTCTGTGGAACCCACCCAGACTGACCCAGTCCCTGGCTCACCAATGCGGGCCACAGGCACTGCCGCCTGGAGGATCTGAACTGTGCTATCCACAGCAGCTTGAACACTAGGGAATGCACAGGTGGCGGCCACTGTTGTCTCTGGCGCAGGGTGCAGGCGCAGGGTGGCAGATGTAATGATACCCAGAGTCCCCTCAGAGCCCACAAAGAGTCCTGTGAGATTGTAGCCAGCTGCACTCTTCCTGGGCCCAGGGACACACAAAAGTAGCTGAGTGCACAGGCCACCTGATTTCCAGCCTGAAGCCTAAAGACACAAGACAGGCTTGGACCGGTCTCCGTGCAGCGCCAATGACCCAGAGAGGACTTGCACAGGGAGAGCCAACTCCAACACTAGCACTGGCCCTCCAGACAGAGTTCCTTCCGGGGCATTCCTGAGTGCCGCCTATCCAGGAGGCCCAGCAACGAGGTCAAGCCCTGCTCACCTATAATGGCGGCCCCGGCCTGCGGTGTGAAGCAGCCTGCCATCAGGCAGCACCACCTCCAGGTTGATCACATTGTCCCGCATGGTTCCGTAGCGCACGGCATTGGTGCCCGAGGCCCCAGTGGCTGCCATGCCACACAGAGAAGCATCTGCACCTGGGTCTAGAGAATAAAACGCTGTGGAGGGCAACTGGGGAGGCCCTTCCCCTCTTGTGGGAAAAATGGGGCCCTCTGAAATCCCCCAGATGGCATCCCCTATCCCTCGGGGCTCTGAGAAAATGATTAGCTCAAGGCCTACCAACAGGAAACCAAAGGCCACTGTCACGCAGGTGGGTATTGAGGGCTTTACGAGTGACGCCAGGTTCCACCATCACAGAGAAGTCTTCTGTATTCAGCTCCATGATGCGGTCCATATGGGTCAGGTTGATGCACACTCCGCCCTGGTAGCAAAGGTACCAAGAACGCTGCCCAACCTAAGTCTCTAGGTCTGGAGCAGCCTCTAGAGCCCCATTCTGGGGCTGAGGCCCCCAGCAGTTAGACCAGAGCTCCGGGATGGCAGGTGAGGACAGCCGTAAACGTGCTATGTATGAGGGGACCAGACCCAGGACACCCCAATATACCTGCACAGCACAGACTCCCCCCTCAAGACCAGTGCCTGTACCAAATGGGATGATGGGAACGCCTTGGTTGTAGCACAGGGTGGCCACTCGGCTGACCTGGTCCACATTCTGGGGCCACACCACGGCATCAGGAGGTTGACACCTAGGAGCAGACAGGACCCGGAGGTTTGAAAAGGTGTGGCGGCCTGTTGCCCTCTCCTTTCCAGGAACCTGGAGTTGTTTATGGACTTGAGGACAGGGCCTCAGCAGAGTGGGGCAGAGAATACCTCCCTCTTCAGAGAGAATTGCCAGAGTGGTGGGCAGAGATGAGGCCAGCCCAGGGCCCTGAGTGCCAGCAGCAGCTTCCGGTACCTGTGCATCGACTCATCGTGCCCGTGATGCTCCCTGACGGCAGAAGCAGTGGACACATGGGGGCTCCCTACAGCTGCCTTCAGGGCCTCCACAAAGTCCTGGCTGAGCGCGCCCTGCAGGGGAGAAGCAGTGCACGGGTCACAGGGAAGAGAGGAGCCACAGCCCTGCCCTGTGGCAGCAGGGAAGAGTGGGGTCTGGACGGCGAGATGACGTCACAGAGCCTCCGGGAACCCCGCCCACACACGGACTTCTACCTGTGACCCCCTGGAGCAGTAGCCCCTCCAGGGAGGCAGCCTCTGGGTTGCCACCCGAAGGAACATGGCCGTAACCGCCGCTAAGGTGAGAGAGAGTACTAGTCAGGGAGGAGGCAGGGCCAGCCTGCCTCTGCCTAGGCCCAATGGCTGCCCTGGGTGGAGCCTGCTTAAGGTGGAGCCGGCTTAAGGTGGCCCCTGCAGATCCGGAAAAGCAAGGACCGCAGCCACTTCTGTGTCTTAAAGTAAATTGCTTCCTGTTGCCCTTCAAACGCAAACACCGTGTGCGGAGGCTTTAAAAGTCCCGCTGGCTTCTCGGACTTCTCCATCCACTGCACTTCCTTCCAACCTCTTCTTTGACCACTAGGCTCCAGTTTCTCTTTCTATTCCATTAGGCTGGTCTCATGACCTTGGCACACACACACACATTGTACTCTACACCTGGAATCCTCTCCCGACTCCCCGACAAGCAGATTCTTCCTCACCCCTCAGGCCTCAGCAGCATGTCACAGAGTGGGCTGCCACCGTGGCCACAAGGAGGGAAACTGTAGCCGACCTTCCAAGACAGAAGTGGGTAGCGTAGCGCAGTGCCCCGGAAAGGCTTCCTTGCTGAGGAGTCCTGAAGAGCAGCAGGGCTGCCCATGGAGGTGAAGGAGAATACTTCCAAGAGCATCCTGGAGCAGTGTGGCTGCCGTGCTGCTTCCAAGCAACTCCCACAGCAATTCCAGGGGAGCCTCTGCTACCACCATTGAGATAACTTACCTACAGCTTAGACTTTTCCTCCTTTGAGTCAGGAATACAAACGCCTAGCAAGTTTTTATTCACTATTACTGTGTACATGTGCATGGTGAAGGGGCGCTCGGGCCACAGCGCACACATGGAGGTTAGAGAGCAGACTTTGTGGAGCTGGTTCTCTCTCTGCTCTCCCAACCACGTTAGGATGCATTTGCCAGAAGAGAAAAATTATACCAGGTATTATAAATGTTAGGACTGTGCAGCGAAGTTACACGGCGGGTTCACAAATCACGCCATGCGACTGGTTCCATGTGGGAGGTTTATTAAGGGAGGGGGGAAGGGGTCACAGAGACCGTCTCTGGGCAGGGCAGAAGAGAGAGACTGGAGGTGGTGTTAGGCCCAGCAAGAGCCTAAATGTAAGAAGGTATGAAGAGAACTCAGGAAACTAATCATCCATCGATGCAAAAAACGCAAGAGGTTCCTCTTGACCATTGCGCAATGGGGTCGGTCACCCCTGCTGGTCAGCTAGGAGTGGCACCCGGAGACAAAGACCTTAAAAGACACAAGGCGGGAATCTCCTGGGGTTGCCTTCTTGGCGATTTAGGATTGGATGAGGTGTTTAACTTTTAAAATAATTGGTTAGTTCTGGTCACCCTTAGGTCTAGTCAGCCCTGTTGTAAATATCTGATCTTCAAGTCAGTTTGGAATTTCCTGCCATCCACAGTTAAATGTGGGAGGGTGATTAACTCATCCCATGTCTGTTCTGAGGAGCGGGGGTTACAGGCTTTGGATCAAAGGTCAGGAGAAGGATTGGGGCCATTTGGCCCAGTTTCCAAACAAAGCCCATCTCACCGGCACTAGCCGGTGATTTTTTTCTCCATTTAGTAGAGATCTCTGCTTGTTCTCTTCCTTATCTCTGCCCTCACAGATGGCTAATGTCAGGAACTTTTACATTCCTCGGCTCTCTGGAGAAGCACTAAGAGGCTTTAATTAACATGGGCCTAAAACTTGCAAATATAAGTTATAAGGCAATTAAAAGAAACATAGGTTACAAAGTTAGTCTTATTCTTTCAGCATTTGTTGTTGGAAGAATGCATAGAGGAAGTTAATAAAGCAGGGTACAAAAAGCAAAAGCAGAATTCTAGATGAGCAGCAGAAAAGGTGTGAGGAAGGGCAGAATCCATTTCCATAAGAGGTTCTCGAAGGCCCAAGAGTAGAGGCCTCAAGCTGTTCCCTTTGCTTTTGTAGATTTGTCTGGAGTTGTTGGATTTTGTCTTTACTTACTATACCTGACTGGTTGACATAAAAACAGTATTCCTTCTGGAGGAAAATGCAAAGGCCACCTTCTTTAGCTGTGAGGAGATCCAATCCACGTTGGTTTTGAAGTACTACTGCTGCCAGCGAGTCCATCTGTCCTTAGAGAGTTAGCATTGTCTGAGTCACTTGCTGGAGGTCCTGGATGAACTAGGAAGAAAGCTGGTAATACAAAGGTAGTGACTAGTAGGTAGGTGACTAGTCCTGCTGTCCCAGTCCTGAGAGCTGCTGTGATTCCTGCAACAGCCAAGAGGGGCAAGATTTGAATTGCCCTCTATCCTGCTGGGCAACTATTGAGTCCACGACTGGGATTGGTAGGGGCTCCTTTTCATTTATTACCCCCAGCTCGGGAAGAGGAGCACCAGCATGCAGACAATGGTAGACCTGAGTACCATAAAGAATTGAGGTATTAGTAGCATAGGGCTTTGGGATTGAGATGAGGTATCAAGGATTATAGTTTTATTACACTCTAAGGAACTTAGCATTCCTACAGAGTATGTTCCAGATGCCTTGAAACAGCTTGCCACGCCAAAGAGGGTGATATGAAAAAGGTAGGGGGTTGTGGCAACATCAGAGTCAGGGCAGTTGGTGAATGGTGAAGTAAGGTTACTTGACAGAGTCACTGGAGAAGCTGTCAGCGGTAGTTCTGAGTTGGTCCCAGGTGGGACACACAGCCAGCAAGCTTTAGAACAGCCTGGTTGGGTCACATTAAGGAGCTTGTAGGCAGAGGTCTAAGTCTGAAGTAGGAGACAAAATGACAGGTTTGTATTATTTAGGTGGGGGGATGTCAGAGAGGCAATGGCCTTAGATGCCAGGGCCCACTGGCAGAGTCAAGCAGTTCCTGAGTGGGGAGTGAGGATTGAAAAATTTAAAGCAAGTCACATCAATACAAGAAAGACGTTCAAGGAACTGCCAAACTTGTTTTCTAAAACTACCTCCCTATAGCAGATATGGTCCAAGGTCACACAAACAAGTTTTAAGGAATTTGGTGAAACTTCCTCTTTTCTCTGTCTCAAGCTGAAGGCCAGGGTGGAAACTGTTTTTCAATAAATAACAAAGCAGCTTGACAAGCAGCTCTCCACACTTAGAAGAGTGTTTAATTACCTTCTCTACTTCTCCCATCCCCAGGGATTGGGTAATATACCAGGTAGGATCCTGTAGCTGAATGACCACAGATGGAATGGTGCCTAGCAACAGATGGGTTTTGGACATCTCAGACTTGGGGGTCCACTTGAGAGGCTGGTAAAGGAAGCGATGTGTCACAACTGGTAGGTAGGGTAGCTAGGGGAAGGAGAGAGGATGCTGATGAGCTTGGGGTCAGGTGAATGGGTGGAGTAAAGGAGATAGAGGCTCCCACTTTGGCTAAAGAGTCCCTTCCCAGTAAGGGAACTGGACAGGTTGGCATCACTAAAAAGGAATGAGTCAAGGGAACAGCAATGAAAATACAATTGAGTGGTGGAGTCCAGCAAGGCTGGCAAGGCTGTCCACCTACCCGACAGTAGGGGAACTAGAAGGAGAGGTTGGTCCCCAGTGCTCTGTCAGGACTGAGTAAGTGGCTCAGGTGTCCCCAAGGAAGGAGATGGACCACCCCGATACCATGATAATTACTCGTGGCTCCCTGCTAGTGATGGCAATGGTGTGGTCAAGGGAACCCGGATACCTTCAGTCATCTATGGCCAGACCTAGGATATTGGCAGGAGGGTGATCTGGGAGTGATGTCCCATATCATGGGAGAAACGGTTGCAGTCAACAACCCAACGTCCCTCTTGGTGGCATTTTGGACATGGCCCTGGTGCCTTGAGGGGGTTAGGACAAAACTGGGCCCAGTTACCTTCTTGACCACGTTTGAAACAATGAGTTCCTCATGGTTTAGGAGGCAAGGGAGCCTGGGTAGTGGCTGAGGCTGGTCAGATAGTCTTGGCCAGTATTTGGTACTTTTACTTGTGGGCTTTCTGATCTCTCCCATGGTACACCTTAAAGGCCAGTGCTAAAACTTCTGCCTGTGGAGTCAGAGGTCCTCTCTCCAAGCACTTAAGCTTAGCCCTGATATCAGGGTAACTATTGGAGAAAAAAATAGGTCATCAGAAGTTGCCTGCCCTCTGTACTTTCAGGGTCTAGATTAGTATGTTGTAAAGAAGGCCTTTGTAAGGCACTCTAGGATTGAGATGGGCTTTCATTCTTGTCCTGAATGACCTCCTGGAGCTTTTAATAATTAACTGGCTTAAGGGCAGCCTTGTGGAGACCAGCGAGGAGGCAGGTCAAAAATTGATCTCTGGCTAAAATGCCTTCTGGGGTATTATAATCCCATTGTGGATCCTGGTCGGGCACCGCCTCAGCCCCAACCATGTGTGCTGCGTTGTTTGGTGAACCTCATCTGCGTGCGTTCTAGCCTGTTCCCAAACTCGCCTGCACTCCTCAGGTAATAGGTTATTGGTAAGAATCATATATATATATGGAAGGTAATACTATAAGATTAAGTGAGATATTGAAATTCTTTAATGAAAGTAGAAAGATTAGAGGTATAGGATCCTAGTCTCTTTTCTACTTGAGAGAGTTCAGTTAATGAGAAGGAAACATGCACCCTAACTAGGCCATCCACACCAGCCACCTCCCTCAAGGGAAGAACGGGGGCTTGTTTTTGCTGAGTAGAAGAAGGGGGTGTCACTATAGAGCGAGCGTGGGTAACAGGGGGCTAGTAGCTGTTGGTGGGGTGAAAGTGGGTGCCAAAGAAAAATGACTAGGACAGCTTGTTGCTAGGGAGTGGGGTGAGGGTGCTGGAGAAGCCAAAGAGGAAGAGGAGGAAGCAGAGAAGATTGAGAAAAAGCCAGAGGTTGAGAACAGCGAGGTGGAGTTTCATCTACAGGGTCAAAGGTAGAGAACTCTTGAGGTTGAGACTTTATAGCTAGAAAAAGTCGGGTAGGAGAACAGAAAGAGCAGAGAGAAGGTTTAGAGCAGAGAAGAGAGAAAGCATGAACGTAAGATACCTTCTCCCATTTACCAGATCGCTGACAGTGATTAAAAAGATCCCATAAAATATTGGGACTTAGGGGCTGGAGAGATAGATGGCTCAGGGGTTAAGAGCACTGTCTGCT